CCCCCCCCCCCCCCCCCCCCAAGTTTTTCCCAAAATTTGAAAATTTCAACTGTATCTGTCCCCGTCTGTCCACAGCTGAGCCACCAGTGCGGTGACCGGTCTCTCAACACTCTCGGCCTGGCACAGCTCAAGCTTGTCCTCACCTACTGCTCCTCTCAGCACCGCCTGGTCGCCCCGGCCAACACACAGAACAGCCTGCTGCGACAAGAGTTTCTGCTGGCTCTGCGCTGCCGTGTGGAGGCTGCTCTCGATCGATGGGCTAATGGTGAGTTGAGGGAGACTACTACTGTAGGAGAGTTTAAAAACACATTTTACGTTTTAATATTCTGTCTCTCATTTTGTTTCCTTAGATATCTAGGTAAATTGATCATTTTGCAAAATTTGAGTACCTTTTTTGTCACAGTAACGTACAGGCCCTCAAATGAAGTAAGTGTTGGTATTTATAATATATGTACATCTAATATATTGTACTTTGCTTTTTCTTTCCTCATCCTTATTATCATCATTTTTCCTCTGCATCTTATGTATGTTTGTCACTCTCTTGTGAACTGCTATATCCGGGATGCCTTGATGGTCGAAGCAAACTTTGTACTGTTGAGGCTAGAGAGGTGAGCAGAGTAAGCCTGATTTCTTGTCTGGACTTCTCTGTTGACATCCACCCCTGGGCGCTCATATTACCATATGCAGTTGCAAGTGCCGTAAAACCTTACTAAAACTAAGCTTTGTTTGCCGGGAAGAAAAAGCTTCAGCTTGATTGTAAACAGAACATTTTCCTCCCCAGACAAGCCCGACGTTGTGGCCCAGTACCTGCAGGCGGACGAGCAGACGCAACTCCACGAGACGGGCAGCCTGGCACACTACCTGGTCTGGTTCTCCGTGCCCAGCCGCGCCGAGCTGATGGCCCCCGGACTTTCTGGTTAGTTTATCGGGATGGCCTGTGTTGCTGGGATTACAGTGCAGCCACTCTATAATGACATTCGATATAACGACATACTCTGTATATAGCGACATGGTGCCCAGGTCCCGATTTTTTCCTTCTATATCATAAGTAATATTTTTGGTTGCCTTTCTATAATGACAACTGTATAGCGACATTTTTTTCTGGTCCTGATGATGTCGTTATAGAGAGGCTGCACTGTATTTTATTTGTTCTGTTTGTGAAAAGAAATACAGTCGAACCTGCCCTGACGGCCACCTCTATAAGACGGTCACCTGTACAAACGACAAACGGTCACTTTCCATTTCCCCCTTGCGTTTTTTCTATATAATTTAACTGTGTAAAATGGACACCTGTCCAACGCGGCCACGAACACCATATTTTAACACACAACCCCTATCACACTAAGCAATAACACCTGTCTTAGACGGCCGCCTCAGTGACGCCATTGCGTTTTGTCATAAATCATGCATCGGTCCCTGGCGTTGTGGGCGAGCCGTCATAATCCAATCACCTGTTGTTATTGTTAGGGAGTCCCTCCAACCGATCATGTTGCGTAGGCCCCTCCCACTGTTGACCAATAGGTAACAAATTTTCAGTTGCTGGTGAGGTAAGCGTGTGATCCCTCATAACCCATAAGCCCCGCCCAGAACTCATACACAAATAGTAAGTGAGATGAGTGGTCATTGTTTACCCAGTCTCTAACAAAGTAACAATGGATGTCAACATGAACTTGTGACAGAAGCGTCGCTCGTTCTGTGAGTGGTGGCGACCCGTGTGCTTGTTTTACCATAGTACTCGGTCCATTTCGTTTTATTGTCACCCTTGCACAAAAGCAGCAACAACCCCCCCCCCCCAAGCGAAAACAACAACAACAAAAATATCAACAACAAATCGGTTCTTTTCGGTTGGGACCTCAGAAAGGAATGGTTTGTTTTCTTCATCTTGATCAGTCCTACCTAAGACGGCCACCTGTCTTATATGGCCACTTTTCTTCTTGGCAATGGGTGGCCGTCTTACACAGGTTCGACTGTATAGTTGAACCTGCTCTAAGGGCCATTTGTCTAAAACAAACACGTTTACAAATCATCATCGTCATTGCCTTTCTCACCCTGGATCAGAATATAGGCCAGGAACAAACACTTTCCACCTTTCCCTATCCTGGGTTAGTCGCTTGATGTCACTCCGTGTCTTTCCACTTTTCTGTACATCCATTTCCGTGACGTTTCTCCAGGTTCCACGTGGTCTTCCTCTTGATCTTTTTCCCTGTGGGTTCCAATATAACACTTTCCTTGTTATGCAGCTGCTTGACTTCCTGAGAGTGTGTCCAATCCATCGTCAACGCCTTTTTCCCACCTCCTCTCTGACTGGGCTCAGTCTCGTTCTTCTTAATATTTCCTCGTTGGTGACCTTGTCTGTCCAACGTTTACAAATGACGACTTCCCATTTCTCGTCTTGTGTTTTTTCTACATTATGTTGCTGCTTCACAAGACAATCACCTGTCTGCTAAGATAACACTTTTCTCCTTGACATTTGGTGGTCATCTTGACACTTATGTGTTTGTGTCTTCTGCAAATTTTGAAGTACACTTGTACTTACGAATTAGTTTGTCTATTTTGTGTGAGATTTTTTGTCTTTTCTCTTAATCTTTTAGGTTTTTCTGTTCTTTCTTGGTGCTCTCTAGATCTAATTCTTGGACAGTGTTTTTTTTGGGTTGTGTCTGGATTTCTTAGACAAACTATCAAGAAAAAAGTCTCATATGAGGGTTGGCCTTGTACAACAACACTTTTGTTGTCAGGCAATGCATAGAAAAGTTGTGCGCAGAATTATTCTTGTATATTACTTGATCATGTGTGTAACAGAAATTTGCATTTTTTCCTTTGTACTACTTTGTAGACTTAGATTAGATAATCATTATAATTCTGGTCGCGTCAATCTTTTTGTTACTTTTTAGAAGAACCCACACACACACACTCTTCATTCTTCAAAATTCAAATGAAGGTAGCTTTCAGTATTCCTAAGAGCATGTCAGAGCCAGATTTTCATGATTTTTTAACTTTAGAAATTTCCAAATTGAAAGTTCCGATTCCTATGTATCGTTAGTGATAAAATACTCCAAAATTAAGCCAATGATTTCCTGTTCCATTTTTAAACAGCGCCTCTGTTCAGTATAGGTTCAAAATTGCAAAGATGAAAGCAAACAGGAATGCCCAAAGCATTTGGTTTTGTGCTATACAGGGTGGTGGTCTGATCTCTCTCATTGAATATTTTGATCTGAATGAGTATATTTGCTGGTGTTCTACTCATCATCATCATCATCATCATCATCATCAATGCCTTTCACCCCTGGCAGGGTATAGGCCACATACAAGCTCCTTCCATTTATCTCTGTCCTGAGCCATCTTTCCAAGCTCGTTCCAAGTGAGCTTAATTTCTCTCATGTCCCTTTCCACGCATCTCCTCCATGTTTCCCGTGGCCTACCCCTGCCTCGTGCTCCTTGTGGGTTCCACTGCAGTGACTGTCTTGTGATGTTTCCGCTGGGCTTTCTTTAGGTGTGTCCCATCCATCGCCACTTTCTTAGTCCTATTTTTACTTCTATATCCTTTTGTCCTGTCCTTTCCCACAGTTCTTCATTTCTTATTCTATCCTGCCACTTAATTCTTAGAATACTCCTCATGCATCTGTTGATGAAAGTCTGGACTTTTTTAAGTACTGTTTTCGTTGTCTTGTAGAGGAGCACAGACTTGACGTTGGAGTTAAAGAGTCGAATCTTGGTGCGCAGTGAGATGTTGCTTGCTTTCCAGACTTTTCATAATTGCTTGTAGGCTGACCTTGCCTTGGCGGTTCTTGCTTTAACGTCTGCCTCGGTTCCACCTTCACCATCGATGACACTTCAAAGGTAGGTAAAGGAGTCCACTTCTTCCAGGGGAGTGTCTTCCACTGTCACAGCAGGGCTTGAAACTTTTCCTAGCTTCACTACTTTTGACTTGCCTGGATGTATACGTAGGCCAACACTCCTTGATAGCCTGTTGAGTTCCTTGGTCTTTTCCCCTGCATCTGAGCATGTGTGTGAGAGAGCAGCGCAAGGTCATCGGCGAAGTCTAAGTCGTCCAGCTGCTGCCAAGGGATCCATTGTATTCCATTACGTTTGCCTCTGGTGGCTTCTTTCATGACCCAGTCAATTGCCAGTATGAAGAGGAAAGGTGAGAGCAAGCATCCTTGTCGCACTCCTGTCTGTACCTGGAATGATTCTGAGAGTTGTCCTTCGTGGAAGTTCTACTCATACACCAGACTTAATGGGTGTTTGGCGGGTGCTCTGGTGTGGTCTGCTCCTTCTTTCTTATCAAACATCTATCGTCCTTATCTCTCCTCTTTCCGTTTTGTGTTTGTTACTCTCTTGTAACACCTCTAATCTTGTGCACTTATATGACCTTATTATGTTGCAAATGCTGTAAAACACTTACTAAAACAAATATGACATCAAACTTGTTAATTAAAATATACAAATATAACATCAGACTTGTTTAATGACCCCGTTTGAACTTCTCTGTTGATATCCACCCCTTGGCGCTCATATGACCGTATGCAGTTTTGAGCGCCATAAAACCTTACTACCCCCCCCCCTCCCCCCGGGGGCGCTACTAACTAAAGTTTCTTTAGGCCGTTCCCAAAGGGGGGACATTAACGTGTTCTTATGCTCAGTAGAATTGTAAATGGGCTGATCCAACAATGTCATGCTCATAAGTGTGCCTGAACTGCTGAAGGGGAACTGCTGCTTTTTCTTTCCTATTCCTTACTATCGTCATTTTTCCTCTACTTCTTATGTATGTTTGTCACACTCTTGTGACCGGCTATTTCCGGGTGCCTTGATAGTCAAAGCAGTCTTTGTGCTGTTGAAGCTAGAGAGGCGAGCAGAGTAAGCCTGATTCCCCGTTTAGACTTCTCTGTTGACATCCACCCCTTTAACGCTCATATGACCTTATGCAGTTGCAAGCGCCTTAATACCCAATTAAAACAAAGACTTGTTTATTTTTTTTCTTCCCGTCCACCAGCGTGCCCACCTCTCCCAGTCCTGGCGACCATGTTTCCTCGGCTCAACATTGCCGGCGTCATGCGACTTCACTCCATCCTGATGGCTGCTAGATGACCGACTGGTGTGCAAGTAGCTTTAACGGCGCTCAACTGACTCCTTCGAGTTGTTCAAAATCTCTTCGTGTATAGACGGTTCAGATGTAAACCCAGCATGATAACTCAAAAACAAACTTAGCATCTCTGGGCTGTGACCGCTGTGGTGCAACAATTGTTTTGATTGCCACAGCGCTGACAGCTGCGCCACCGACAACAGCATCATCAGCATCTACAACAACCTCTCCATCATCATCAACAACAACATCTTCAGTATCATCACCTTCCCGCCATCAGCTTCTACAACAACCTCCTCACCATTATCATCAGCATCTATAACATCTTCACCATCGCCAGCATCAACACCATCTTCATCATCATCACCACCCCACTATCATCATCATCATCATCATCATCTACAACCACCTCTCCATCAGCATCAACAACAACCAACAATAACTTCGTCACCATGAGCAGCAGTTTTACGTTGTTTGATGAAGACAATACTTTTAGATCTCTTTTGTTGATGTTTACCTCTTTTGGTTCTTTGTCAGTTCATGTATGTGCAGTGCTAAATTTTGCCATTGTCTTTAGCACTTTTCTGTTTTTTTCCCCCAGCTTTTTGTGACGGACCATCACAAATCTTGTGAGGCTTTATTGAGAATTTCTACTTCTTTGCCTAACATATTTTCTTTTCCTTTATGTATTTTGTTTTTGTTTTCATGTTTTGCATTGTGTAGCCCCAACAGATCTATAAAACTAAAACAGGAATTCCCTCTGCTTTTTCTGGTCCTCTTAAGTTTTGGGTTTGTCTCTTAGTCTATTTTGCAGCTGTGTGTGATAAAACCACAACAAATTATTGGGAGTGTAACTGGGATATTCCACTCTGCTTTCATGTCATTCCCCCTTTCTGGTTTTTGTCTTTCCTTTGTTTTGAAGCATCATTTTTGTTTTCATAACAAAAAAAAAACCCCAATCCAAAATTGTCGGTAAGAATGTAAAACTTGAATTTCCATAAGCATTTTTGCTGTGTCATTATTTCTAGTTTACTACCAGTGTTACTGATCTTTGCTAGCTTGGGTCGTTCACTCGTGCATAATCTTCCACAAACTCAATCACCAGGGGCGCTCTGTTGGTTCAGTTGGTGTCATGCTGGACTTTGGAGCGGAGGGCCCTGGTTTGAATCCTTGACCAGGTGTTCTTGAACTTGGGTTGTTTTGTGGAGGTTTTGAGACTCTCAACCCATTAGGTTTGATCCTACCGGAGACGGATGTTAAATTCAGAGGTCCTACCTCTTGAATAATGTAATGGTCTTGATAAGAGCGTTAACTCTTTATCTCCAGCAAGCCGCTCCCAGTGGCTCGCGGTCGGAACCCCTGTGACGGTGAGCTGCTGACAGCAGCTCGGGCACATTCCTTTATGACGACTTCAACATCAAATTACTTTTTGGCAATTTTTGAAAACATGTCTCTTTTATTGGGATTTTAATCATTAGCTGACTAACTTTCAAAGTAGGTTCACTTGTTTTGATTTAAAATTTAATGCCCTTTTAGTGGCGTTTCTTTGGGTCATTTTTAGACTTACTACCAAAGAAGGGGCCCGGCATAGTGGGTGAGATAAAGAGTGAAACCAATATACTTAATTTTTTTTGTCTATGATCAGTGGACCACCTCTTCCTTACTGAGGACTTGAATGTCTGTCTGTTGAGAGTTTTGTTTTTATCAGCAGACTTGTTTTATTCTGTTTCTTTCGAGGCTCAATTCTTTATGTCTTTGGTAGGCTACTTACTGTTGAGGGTATGCGATGTGATGGACATTTTTGGATATACAGTGGAGTCCTCTTAACGGAAACGTGATTAATCTGAAAGCAGCAGTAAACCAACAGACGACAGAAGTAGAATCCCAGATTTTTTGTCTTTGCTGTTTGAGCAATCTCTCTGAAATGTAAACTCGGCTAAAATGAAGAAAATCTGGCAACCTTTCAGATTTCGGTTTAAATGGACTACACTGTAGAAGTATTGGCATTTTGTGTCTTTTTGTGTGTGTGTATGTATGTGTGTATATATGTAATGTGTGTGTGTGTGTATGTGTATATATGTGTGTGTGTGTGTGTGTGTGTATGTATATGTAATATGTGTGTGTATGTGTATATATGTGTGCGTGCGCGCGCGCACGCGTGTGTGTGCATGCGCGTGTGATGCTGATTTATACGGTGATTTATGATAATGTATAAGTCTCGAGTGCTGTGAGAGTGTAGATGTAATGGTGGGTGCCTGTGGTGATATTGGCTCTACTGTGTTCCTCCAACTGTTCCAGCAAGTTTTGTAGTATTCTGATAATAAATGATTCTTAAGTCTGTGGTCTGTGTTGTATTTTTTGTTTTTGTAAATGTGAGTTGTAACAGTTTTCCTTTTTGCATTTTTGTTGCCCTTTATAGTTATAATTCTCTTTTTCAAGTGCCAGATAAAACTTATCCTAGTGGGTGGTTGGCAGGTGCTCTGGTGTGGTTTGCTCCTTCTTTCCTATCGAACATCTATCTCCCCTCCTTCTTTTTTATGTTTATTACTCTCTTGTAACACCTCTAATATTCTGGCGCTCATATGACCTTATGCAGTTGCGAGCGCCGTAAAACCTCTACTAAAACTAAAACAAACAAAACTTATCATAGTTTTTTTTTTTTCAAGATGTTTTTAGGCCCCCATTGACACAATCTAGATCATTTAGGAGGCGGGCTTAGACCATGCCTGTTGACCAACAAGGGGTGAAGATCCCCTCATATAAAAAAAAAAGAAGAAAATCATGCTCATACTGTGCCGGAACAACATAGGGGGAACTGCTGCTTTTTCTTTCCTCATCCATATTATCATCATTTGCTTCTACTTCTTTTGTATGTTTGTCACTCTGTTGTGAACTGCTATTTCCGGGGTGCCTTGATAGTCGAAGGAGACTAGAGAGGTGAGCAAAGTAAGCCTGATCCCCTGTTTGGACTTTTCTGTTGACATCCACCTCTTGGGACTCATATGACCTAATCCCGTTGCGAGCGCCGTAAAACCTCACTAAATTAAAAAAAAAAAGAGATGTTGTATCCTAAGGAAAGGGTGCTTTGCCGTACTACTTTATTTCGTTTCAAACAGGTCAAAATTCGACTGTCTGTACTGGTGGAAATTTGTGAGTGGTACTGAGCGTACAAGTTAGAGAAGTTTAGCACTCTTTGAGGAATGGGTGGTCGGCGGGTGCTCTGGTGAGGTTCGCTCCTTCTCTTCTATCAAGCGTCTAATGTCTTATTTTTTTGGGTCCTACTTTGTGTACTTGAGGGTAAAATCAAATCAAATCAAATCAAATCAAATCAAATCGAATTCCATTTTATGAAACGCTAATTCCCCTAGGATAATTTGGTTTATGATGGCGTAACATATTACACAATTAGTTTTAGTAAGTGTTTTTTTGGTGTATTTCACTCTCTAGTAACACCCCTAATCTTTGGCATTTACTTTATATGATGACCTATTTGTGTTGCAAGTGTCGCAAAATTCTTACTGAAACAAACAAAGAACTTTTTTAGACACATTGTAAAGTGTAGGTTATATCGAAGACGAGCATTTGATCCAACGTCAGCACTTCATGCTTAGAGGATATGAATGTAGGCCTACTCTGATTCTGCATGTCAGGAAGGACAAAAAGAAATAAATTTAGATTAATAGATATATATAAATAAATAAATGAATAAAATTAGTAAATAAATGAATGAATAAATCCAGACTCTTTTCTGATTTGAGTCTTCAACTCCTCGAATTGGTGATTAAGTTCGTAACTCACAGCAAAGCAACAGCCAACTGTAGACGCTCCAACTTTTTTGCGCAGAGGTTGTGTTGTTTCTTCATATTAATACGTACTGGCCATAGTGATAAAGCAAACAACAAATTAAAGACACACCTCCCAAAAAAACAACGACGACAACAACAACAACAACAACAACAACAACAAAACTCCAAACAAACCATGCCATTTTGACTTCACACCAATTCTGTCTTCACAGTAGCGTTCATTATCAATTATAAGCTGTGATATCATACTGATGTTTGCGCTGACGTAAATGCTGAATTGCTTTGCTTCCGAAAGTAGGCCTAGATCTTACTGTATGATACAACTGTGGTGAAATAGTTATATCGTAACACGTGACTGCATGTTAGTAACACCGTCCTGTATTGTTATTGGGCAATATAAAGTGCCAGGACAGCATAACTAATGTCTCTTTACGAGGGACAGCTGGATTTTTTGGGGGTCCAATTTTGTGTACTTGAGAGTAAAATCAAATCAAATCGAATTCCATTTTATGAAACACTAATTCCCGTAGGATATTTTGGTTTATAATGGCGTAACATATATTACACAATTAGTTTTAGTAAGTGTTTTACGGCACTTGCAGCGCAATAAGGTCAGAAATGCCAAAAATTAGAGGTGTTACAAGAGCTTAACAAACACAAAAAAGAAAGGGGAGAAGGATAAGTTTTTGATAAGAAAGAAGGAGCAAACCACACCAGAGCACTTACCAACCACTCACATATTACACAATCTCTTATCAGACAATAAATACAAAGATACATACAAAATGAAACATGCATATTATGACATATACTACAAACACGTCATTGCCGGTTTGCCAAGGTGCCATATTAAAAATTGAAAACAATTAAAAAAAATTAAAGCTATTTTTTGTGTGCTAGGTTTCTCGTGTCTTGTTCAGAACACACTCCGTTTTGTAATTAGTTTTAGTAAGGTTTTACGGCGTTCGCAACTGCATAAGGTCATATGAGCGCCAAGAGGTGGATGTCAACAGAGAAGTCCAAACAGGGGATCAGGCTCACTCTGCTCACCTCTCTAGCCTCAACAGCACAAAGTCTGCTTCGACTATCCAGGCATCCCGGAAATAGCAGTTCACAAGAGAGTGACAAACATACAAAAGAAGTAGAGGAAAAATGACGACAGTAAGGATGAGGAAAGAAAAAGCAGCAGTTTCCCCATGTTGTTCCGGCACAGTATGAGCATGACATAAATCAGCCCATTTACAATTCTACTGTGCCTAAGAACATGCTAATATCCCCCATTTGGGAATGGCCCAAAGGCAACTCCAGTAAGTAGCACTGCCCTGGTGGGGGGAACACACTCCAGTGACCACCCATCTAAATACCGTGTCAGTGACGTATGCTTGACCCGGCGTCTTCTTCTTCTTCTCGTTCATCTTTCAATGGACATCCCAGTCTCTATAATGCAAAGGATGCTGCTAGCCACAGGTCCTTCAGGCCCCCCAATAGAGGTTTGAGTCCCTCGGGTTGGGCCAATGTCTCTTTCTGAGAGCCTCGAAATAAAAAAAATAAAAATAGAGAACGAATGTTTTTATTAAATGTTTTTAGCTATTCAAGTTTCAATTTTATTGTGATCGTTCATGAGTTCTTAATGCGTTCTATATTTTTAGTGAACGCATTGCTAGGCTCACTGCGTGACTATTTTTCTCATAGAAATATTTAATCATATTATACATAATATTATTATATGCATAATACTATGTTTTGCGTACACAAATGTTCATTAATTTTAAAGATTTGATATTTTAGAAAATGGAAATGCGCAGCAGAAATGCT